TAAGAGCAACAGAAAAATATAATAAAAACAAATTTAAAATTAGATAGAAGCGACCTGAGCCTTGGGCAATTGAGTGCTTAAATAAATAACTATGAACATTTATCGCACCTTGAAGCAAGTGTCATTGGTGCTACGGCGTCGTGGCTTTGGTTCGATTTAGCCAATTGCTTATTGTGTGGCTCGCCACGCACCAATTGCCAGTGCAGGGCTGCCGTTTCCGCTATCAATGTCAATAGCAGGGCAGAAGCCCAAATACAAGCATAATGCTAACAGAGACGTGCTGTGCGTGCGTGTGTCTGTGTGTGTGTGTTTGTGTCTAACTTTGTGTATCTTTCAAATGTCATGCGCTGTTAGAGCGAGCAAATGGTAAACGATTCAATGGAGACGCTTTGCAACCACAGCAGCATTTGCTTATCTCGCCTAGCGCACGCCAAAGTGCGCTTCATTTGAGGCGCCTGCTCAAAGGATGCGAGACCCCTCTGTGCTTAAGCTTTAGCATCAGCATCAGCATCAGCTCCTGCACCAGCTTTCAGTTTCCGCAGCAGGCAGACGGTCAATGCGGGGCGCCGAATGGCAGGAAAATGCCATGGATTTGCCTTTGCCTTTCGTCTACCGTCCGCCGTCTGGTGTCCGCCTCCTGCTGGCAGCTGCCTGCCGCCTGCCGCCTGCGAAACGTATTTATGTTTGTCGCTTATTTTGCCAAACAAATATTTGCACAACAAACTGTTGGGGTGCGACAGAATTGGCGGAACTCGAAGCTGAATCGGAATCGGAATCGGAATCCCAATCGTAATCCCAGCAAGAGGGGCGGCAGGAGGCAGGCAGAGGGACGATGAGATTAGCGCTGTTTGCCAAGTGTTATCGCCCATGTAAACAGCTGTCGACGAGTGGATCTCTCGCCTTCAAAGTCGCGCAATTGTTGCGTATACGCAGCGTAGTCAGCACCATCTCAGAGTGGCTTTAATTATTTAAGCGAGAGTTGCATTTGGGCCAGTTAATGCGAATGATTGCCACTGTTATACATGCTGCAGCATGTGCTGTTATTTGGAAATTAGGTTAGCACACTGCGTACCAGCTGTATGTGCATGTGTGCCATAACAATGCCAGCCCGGGCATTGGCGGATCTCGCAGTACAACAAAAATATTTACTGCACGTGAAACAAACTGGAGCTAGAGCCAAACAGGTGTGCATATACTTGGTGCAGTCACTGTTGCTCACATTAAATGTTTTACTTGTGCCTAATTAAATTTCCCCAACTGTGCTGTGCAGATCAACTGCAAAGCTTTGCGATGATGATGATGATGTTGATGATTATGATGCTAAGCGATTGGCAAACGAATCTGATTATTATGATTCAAATTGTGGGTCATCGGGTTACCACTTTAACTGGCATTAATTATCAGTATCGGATAAATTACAAATGTTGTTATTGTTGTTGTTTGCTGTCTTGCAACGGCGTGTGATTAAAATTTGTTATTGCTGCCGCTGCATTGGCTGTGTGTGTGTGTGCGATTCAATGTATGTGACATGCATAAATATCTGCCAATATTTGCGCAAATTCACAATAGCTGTATTACGTGTGCATGTGAATGGGTGACTGCATGTGTGTGTGTGTGTCCCATAGCTGAATTGGCAAATGAAGTTGCCCAGCCCTGAGCACAATGCGAACAGATTCAAATTTATAACCATCAGCAGATGGCCAACGAGTGTCCCAGTGCATGCTGAAACAAAAGGATCAGCATCGATGATGATGATGTTTATGGCGATAATGATGTATGTAGATGCTGATGATGATGATGGACGACCTATGACAATGGCTAATGAAATTTGTGGCAATGTGCAGAAGAGCAAGTGCACATAAAATGCGTAACAATCAAAAACAATCGGTGCGAGGGGCGATCGATCGATTAACATAATGCGGCATGCAGCAAGTGTGTGTGTGTGTCTGTGTATATGTGTGTGTGAGTGATAGAGATGAGGAGTGTTAAAGCGGGAGCTAAAGCTAAAGCTGCATGTGCCGCTGATTGTGTATGTGTGTGTGTGTGTGTGTCTATGTGTGTGTAACTGAGAGCTGTAAATAAGCAGCAACCGAATATAATACACATAATGGATGCCAATTCAAGCCAAGAGCCACTGCAAGGGGTGGGGGGGAGCGTGGTGCACTTCATATCAATAATGTACTTAGTTAAGTTTGTTTGGAGCAGATATGGTTTTGGGGGCTGGCTCGGTATTTGGCGCTGGGGCACAGAGCTAACAAACAAAATGCTTATTTATGGCACTTCTGTGCATTCCAAGTGAGCGAGCGTGTCTGATTGCATGTGTGTGTGTGCGTGCGAGTGTGCGTGTGTTGCATTACTTTAACTGCAAGTGATTGCAGTGGAAGATAGCCATAACTATGCCCCAACAGCCAAACGCCAAGTTAGGTACAAGACAGCAAGTGGCAGGCAGACGGCCGAGCCACAACAAGGCGCAGGATGCACAGGACTCGGGATGTGGCTGCAGTCGTCGCTATTTGCCCGCCGCCTGTTTGTCTAATACAGTGCCACAAAAGGATGCAATTATCTGGAGCGCAAGAGATAGATAGCTAAATAGAGCGAGACGCTGTGAGTTACTGTCAGCGAGTGCCTTTGGTGCAGTGGTGCAGTGCTGTGGTAGTGCGGTGGTGCAATGGTGCTGTGGTTCAGTGCTGCAATGTATGTGTGCGTGTGCTTCAATTGTCTAATGTGCTCTTACGTTACCCCTATTCAAGCCCCGTAACTCGCATAGCTTTATTTATTACCTGAACTGCCTTACAGTTCGAATTAAATGTATTTATACAGCTTACCAACACTGAGCAAAAATAGCTAGTTACCTTTGAGAAAAGCTCTAGAAAATATAAATAGTTGTATGAGGCAATAAAAATGTAACTGAGAATAAAAATAAAAAATAGATTTCATAGCGAATTCAACAGGTTGAAATATAGATTCTTGTCTTTTATTATAGATTCTCACTAATATAAAAAAAAAAAAAAAAACAAATTTATTTAAATAAATCGACAATAAGAATTTTGATCCCACTTTTACTAAAAACGTTCATCTCGAATGTAAATTAACATGATTTGTGATAAGAAATAGATTGCAGAGGAGTGAAGTCTTACAAGTGAAGCCCACTTAATCGAGTGCTCAATTGAAGTGCATTTGATTTATAGAATTGCATTAAATAATTTATTTACTTACCCCTCTCGTCCAGTGTGCTAGCGGCATGAGTGCGGTGGATGATATCGCTACCGGCGACAAAATCGCCCAGATGTGCTGCTTTGTGCATGTTGGTGCTGGTGCCGGTGCTAATTGAAGTTGCGAGCATTGAGGAAATTGCAAGTATTTGGAAATTAAGTGCAAGAAGTTATATAATAGAAAATGTGCAGTGTGTGTGCGGGTGGGTGGGTAAGTTAGCTTCGCATGGCATTTGGGATAGATCTGGTGTAGGGCAGGTGCAGGTGCAGGTGCTGGTGCTAGTGCATGTGCATGTGCATGTGCATGTGTGTGTGCTCGATGAATTAGCTGTGGTTGTTGCTGTGATTGTGGTGGTGGTGGTGTTGCATAAGGACAGTTTGTAAAGGACATTTGCAGCCGTTGCTCATTAATGAGCAAAATGACTTAATGCGGCTGCAAATCGGCTTAAAGTATTAACAGACCAAGTCGCTTGACATTTCACTTCCGCTGACAATTGACAAAGCAGCTGGCATTATAAATTCATTTTTGACCATATTTCGGACATCTATTTAGGCTCGTTGCTCGCTGCTAGTTGCAGGCAGCATTTGAATATTGAATAAGATGGCATGCATTAGGTGAGTCGATTAAGTATTTAAATGGCCTGCAACTGCAGAGATATATATATATATATAGAGAGAGAGAGAGAGAGAGAGCTGCTGCCCAGGAGCAACTGCAACCGACATGTTTCTACTCGTTTCCTTGTTGCTGTTGCTGTTGTTGCAGCTGCTGTTAGCCTCATTCATTAGTTGACTACTGTTGGCTGTTAACCGGAAATTGTGGCATACCCAAGTGAGTCAATTATTTTAAAAGCTTTGCTGCATAAAGTTTTCAGCTGCAGCCCCGTCGTTGTGGTTAAGAGAGTTTTTGGTTGAGTTAATGAAAGACTTGATCCGCCACACGGAGAGCGGGGTACTGCCCTAGGAGAGCCAGCATGCACTGCCCACTCGAGCAATCATATGTGAAGAAAGTTTGAACAAAGTTGGCGGCTTAAAGATGCCAACTTTGGCTCGGCCAGGCCGAATCACACCCTCAACTGCATACTTAGGCGATATGGTTGAGCTGCTGGTGCTGCTGCTGCTGCTGCCAGCTGCAATGGTTCCAACGGTGCTCGCCGGCTCCACGCCGTGCGCATAGTACGTGTGCGTGTGTGGATGCGTGTGCGTGTGCGGACGAGGTCCTGGCCCGGTGTCGACCACGACCACCACATCGTCCACAACGCTGCGCTCTAGGTCGTCCGCGTGGGCTGGCGGCGACTGTGGCTGCTTCTTGTGGCTGTGGTGCGTGGTGGTGGTGGGCACGTCGACAACCACATCGTCGTCCTCGGAGGTGTGCGGACTGTGCGAGGCGAGCACCAACGGGTTGTTAATGCCCCACGAGGGCGGATGCAAATAGTGCGGATAGTTTGAATAGATTTCAGCGCGTATGCGATCATCGTAGTCATCATCGTCCGAATCGTCCTCATCTTCCGCCTGCTCCTCCTCCGCGTCAACCTCCTCCGGGTGCTCCCTGCCACTGTTGGGCTCATCATGATAGTGGTACTCGATGTTGTTCGACAAGAGCTCCGTGCCATTCAAGGCGTGGCCGATGCGTTGGCTGTGCTTTTGTTTCTGTTTTCGCGTCGGTTTCGGCTTCGCTTTTGGCTTTGGTTTTAGCTTCGGCAAGCCGTTGGGGAAAAATATTATTCTATCTGCAAAGAGCCAAAGAGTGGGAGAGCGGGGAAACGGGACAATGGGCAGGAGTGGAGGATGCGCAGACATGCGTGAGGTGCAAATACAGTTTAGTGCCAAAAATGGTGCAAATTCGTTTCAGATGTGTGCGTGGGTGTGGCTGTGGGTGTGTGTAGTGGTGCGGGTACGCTTATTTAATTAGTGCTATTAGTGCCTGGGGTGCATTTAATCCAAAGGTGCGAATAGTGTTGTGCTGTTGCAGCTGCTAGCGAAGTGCGGCTGTGACCCCACAGCGCCAGCGCCAGCTAAGCGTGTCCAGGACTTGGCCCGAATTGAGTTGAGCTCGGGATTGGATTTGAATTTGAGCTGCAGTGTTTTACGGTTTTGCTTTTGGGTTGCTTGAAAATGTGAAGATAATGAAGTAATTTTGGTTTAGCGCCAACAAAAGCATGAACTAAGCTGATAGTCTATGTGAAAGGATAGCTAGGGTGAGACCTCAGCAAGTGGCCCCGCTAAGCCCGGCCCAAGTCTTGCAAAAGAACAGAACGATTTGTACGGTTTGCAGTAGAAAGTGGACAGAAGCGAGAGCTAGATAGTACAGCAACGATTACGATTAAATCAAAACTAGTTATTACAGTTACCAGCAGTTAGTGGATAATATTGTAGTTCCAAATGTGTTTCGTACTTTGTGCAATCAATCAATCAATCAATGGTAATGTCAATATAATGTCAATCTATATGTAAAGCACAGTAACAGCGCCAGTTAGCGTGTGGCATATCAATTCGAATCGGCTAGCAGTTGGTGAGGGTATTCGGGTAACTCTTACTGCTAATTATTATTATTATTATTATATATTGGATAGATAGATAGCAAGGTCAATTTTACAGTACTTTGATATTTGAATGGTGAGTGTGTGTGAGCGAGAGAGAAATATATATATATATATAGAGAGAGAGAAGAGGAAGAGAGAAGAGGAAGAGAGAGAGAGAGAGAGAGAGAGAGAGCGAGGGAGATAGAGCGGTGACAGTAAACACGGCAGCTTTACATATATATAATTATATATATTGTAGATGTACGTATACGTGATATTTACGATATTACTGAGCATAGCTAATACGTATAGTATAACCATATATTCAAATACTGATATAGGCATGTTATTGCTAATAGGTTGTTTACTGATCGCATGTCACGCAAATGTGGGAATTGTTGTTGTTGTTGTTTTTTTTTTTAACTAATTTGTTTATTAATTTTTTACTGTTTTGGTTTTGATGCAAAAGCGTGCGATTTTAGTTTCAGGTTTTTTGGTATTTTTTTTTTTCATTGGTATTTAGATTACTTAAATTATTAGGCTAGTTTCAGTTTTGAGCGGTTCACAAAGTACCAAAACGGAAAACAACAAAATTACAAAATGGAAATCGAAATCGAAATCGAAACGAAAAGTAGACAGAACTGAGGAGAAATTCATTTGTGTTGAGTAAAGAACGTATAACACATAATACGATAATAAGATAGTACTCAAAATGGTTTTGCTTCTTCGCTTAACCATAGATAGAAGAAAGAAATCACATTTAATGTTCCAAGAGATGAAATAAAAATGTATTTTCTTTGCATTTCGCCGAATGTTTCAGCATTTGACGCAATCTTCTTTCTTTTTTGTTCGTTTTGTCAGGATTTTGTGTTCTTGTTGTTGGCTGTAGTTGTGGTTGTAGCTGTTGTTGTTGCTGTTGTTGGTGGCATCAGCCGTTGCCGGAAAACTTACCCACACACGGATTGTGATTAACAATATTAAAAATACGATCACAGCGCTTTTTCATATGATTATTCGGACAGATGCACCCGAACATGGGCGACAAGCGCAGATTAGTCCAGGCATCGTGGCAGGCATCCCTGAAATGAAAATACTCGCAGTCAGTGGGGCTCTGTAGAACGAAAGCACAGCAGGAAAGGCAGCACCTAAGCCGACGCACAACCACCACAGCTAATTGAAATTATATTCAACCCCAGCGCCGACCCTTTTCGTATACAAAAAAAGTGCGGAAGAAACTCGACGAACTAAACCCCTTAAACCCGACCCAAGACCCGACTTCCGCTCGACGCAGCAAACTTTAAAATTGGCAATTGCATCAAAAATGCATACATACGGCAGTTCAATTAATATTTTATCGCATAGGTGGCAGCAGTTCGACTGTGGGCTGTGGGCTGTGGGCGAGGTCGCCCAGCGCCCGTTTACCGCATGGCCTGTGCGTGCTCAAAGTTTAGACGGCGGCAGTGAAACTTTAAGCCAGGCCAAAGAGCGCGCCGGGGCCGCCGCAAAAAGTCATTTCGAGTTATTAAAACATTCAGAACGTTTGTATTCGAGGGTATTGAGCCAGGCGCCGCAAGCAACTGGCGTCAGCAAGGATATGTGAAGGCTGCAGGAAGCAGCTGAAACTCAACTAGCAGGAAATTTCATTTCGCTGCTCTTAGTTGAAGTTGGGCGAGAATGCCACGCCCACGCCCGCAACCTTCGCCCTGTCTCGCTATCGAGTATCGAAATTAAATGTTGCTTCTGCAGTTTGTGCAGCGTCGAAAGTTTTTGCGGCAACAAGCTGGGATGCTCAGCTAAAATGCCATCACCAGCAACTAAATCCATTTTCTCATTAAGCCAAACAGTTTAATTGAATGATTTTATTATCCGCCCCACTTTCGCCAAGTTCGCAGACACTGCCGGTGCACTTTTTGTGCCGCTGCTCTAATTAGCATTCGCTTCACAGTTTCCCCCAATTTGCAACAGTTTGCGGCTGCCGGCAGGACGAAAGTGGCAGAGCGTGGAATACTAAGCGAGAGCTTGTTGCTTAGTATGCAAACTGAATAATCAATAATTATAATTGATATGCCGGACCTTGCTGAATTCACTTATCGATTGCACAGCCTGCAAAAGAATTACTGCCAGCCCAGCAATTCCTTCAGTTCTGCCCCTCAAGTAGCCCCGAGCTGCTTATCTGCACTTAACAGAGATTCCCCTTTCTTTTTAATTTGCGCAATTCACTCACCTGTTCTCCATTTTGCACTTATTATCGCGCACCTTGCAGTGAGTCTTGAAGTCCTCGAAGAGCTTTAGGCATTTGCGCTCCTGCTGGCACACGGACAGCGCATGGTTGCACGTGGGCAGGGCGTCAATCGGATAAGGATCCTTTTCGGCTGTGGGGAGGGATTAACAGAAAGGAAATAGAGCAAAACGAAAGCAAGCCAAATGATTTAAGTGGGACTATCAAAAGTTTAAGGTGTCATCGTTGCCTGTGGCATGCGACATGCGGCATGCGGCATGCCACACGCAGTTGGCGGCACTTGCAACGCACTTACCTTTTTTGAGCACAAATCCGCACGGATGATCGAACAGAAAATCCCGGAAATGATTGCAATCGGGATCCATGCCGGGTTCCTTGCACAGGCAGGTGGGGCGAAAGAATTGGAATGCCTGCAGCGTGCGTAGCGCCGCTTGGCATTTTGTTACCGTCACCGTGCTGCAGGACACTGCAAGGACAATGAAAGAGACAGCAAGCCAGGCTATAAAAACGAGCAGCGACAGTTATGCTTAATGATCTCTAAATGGCAGCAGCGCTTAAACTTTGACATTTCGCTGGACGTGTCCGTGTCCTAGTCCGTGTCCGTGTCTGTGTCCTTGTCCGTGTCCGTGTATCTGTCCAATTCGGAATCGCTGCTCACATCGATTACCCAAGTTGTAGCCAGTTGACAGTTGTTATAAATGGCAGGCGGGCGTCGGCCCAAAAACAGACAACTACAAACCAAACACATGTCATAATACCCAACAATAAACAACGACACGAACAGCAGCAGCAACAGCAGCAGCAAACAGCAACAACAACAACAACATTCACAAATATAGCTGCAACAATATGAATAATTGAGTCCCCAACAAAATGGTCGATTTAAGCGACCAATGAAGCGAGCAGGCAGCGTGCAGCCAGCGCCCGCCCGTTGCTGGAGCTTGTTGTTGGAGCGATCCGATAATATTTTATAACATAATAAATTATGTTTCATATATGACAGCTTATTCGAGCATATGACAACTACTGCTATATATACACATACTCATTCGCCCACATAGACACGCACACACACACACGCACACACACACACACTCATTCGCACTCGCCCGAATGAGTGGGGCGTGCGGGCTGTCGAAACAAACAAAAGGCCAACAAACATCTGTTGGCCATCCATTGTCCCTTTGACCATAAAACATAAGCCCTACTAATAAACTCGACTACGACTACACTTCACACACACACACACACAAACACAGGCACACACACAGACACACATCGAGACGACTGTGGCTGGCCATAAGCCGTAAAATCGCTAAAAAAGCAAAGCGAACCAACTGCCGCAACGTCCGGACAATGGCCAATGGCCAATGGCCAATGGCCAATGGCCAATGGCCAGCATATGAGCTGGACGGCCCATTGCTCATGTCACTCATACGACGAACCGTTGGTCGCTCGACCCCGGACATGATTATTTGCTACTCGAACATAAAGTTGACCGCCCAACCCCAGCCCCAGCCCCAGCCCCAGCCCTCAGGCAATTTGTGTGTGTGAGGCGTGATGCTCGAACTACGCAACAAGTGACATTTTTCGCAGGCATTCATCATATTTATGACATGGCCAACACTTGACATGGCCGCATTTGTTGCTTTTGGCCCGAGCTCTGCTCTGCGCCAGTTGGGCCACAGCCGCAATTAGAAGCCATTGCCAGCTTAAATAGCAGGTGTTGGGGCCACATCTTTCGACTTGGCTTAAACGGACTGCAACTCCTAAGCACTTTTAGTTTTGTGGCCTTTGATTTTCTATGTGTATGTGTGTGTGTGTGTGTGGCTGCTCATAAAAGCGGCGAGCGGGTTTTATGGCTCGTCGCCATCATCAACTGACGCCATTTGCAGTAACTGTTCAGCTGGCAATGCTCTTGCTCTCTCTCTCTCTCTCACTCTCTCTTTATTCGCCCTTTAACCGTGAACGTTAAGTCCTCAATTCGTTTTTATACGAAACGCGTTTCCGGTTGTTGATTTGGTCGCTGAATTGGTTCAATGATTTCTTTGTTGTTTCCAATATAACCAACAAGCGTGCACGTGCACATGTATGCGAATGTGTGTGTGTGTGCGTGTGTGTGTCGACTTTTTGGCTGAGTTTGATTCGATTTTAACTTGTTATTTGTTCGCTTTTCCTATACAGTATATAATCATAGTTGTGCACTTGCTGAAATTTATATGCCATTTATTTAGTTGGCAATCAAACGGAAATTTGAGCACGTCATGTTGGCCCGCTTCGCATAAAATGTATTGGCTTTTATTTGCACAGCATCAGCATCAGCATCGGCATTGGCATTGGCGTGCAATTAATTAAATTAAGTAAACTTTTGTCTTTGCCTTGGCGCCTTTGTGCATGAAATTTTTACAATATTTATTGAGCGGCATGGGGGTTTCCCCTCATGCAACACATGTCCTTTTGTCATATGAAACAGGCGTGCCTTGAGCTGGGTGTGGGTGTGTGTGTGGGTGCATGTGTGTGGGTAGTGCGTGGTTGTTTGCCTTGTGCGCAGTTGGCTGCTTGCTGATTTCATTGAACCATCGGCAATCGCACAAAGCGAACGCAAAAATGCGAGCGCAACCCACACATACGCATACTTGCACACACCGCAAGCGCACATACGCACACACACACACATACAAACGCAAGCAAGCAGCTGGAGTAAAGAACGTCAAAAAGTACGCTACGACTGCAGCAGCAGAAAGCAGGGCCAGCACCACAGAGCGCCGTTGCTTGTCAAAATATTTATTGCCGTCAGAGAGATAGAGAGAGAGAGAGAGAGAGAGCAAAAGAGCGAGAGCGAATTGAATAGAGAGAGCGATGCTTTTAAAGGCTTCAATGCGGTCATGTCGCCGCATAAAGGCGCCAAGAGAAAAGGCAACAGACACGCTGCATAAAATGCAATTATCATAAATATTCAGGCCGCCTTGGAGCGTGTTGGCTTAAAGTGTGTTTGCGTGTGTGTGTGTGTGTGTAGGTTTTTTCTTTGCTACGCTTTCACGTGTGCAATATATGTACATATTTTTTGAGGACATTTAAAGGACAATACGGCTGCCATTAAACTGCCCCCCCAACCCCGCTCCCAGCCACAGCCAAAAAGTAATTTCAGTTTTTAAATGAAAAAGTTGAAAGTGCGTTTTACGTTTGTTTTGCTGACGCCAAATACCATTTTGTTGGCGCTCAGCACACACATACACACGCACACAGACTCACATACAAATCTACAGAGAGCAAGGTCTTATGAGACATTTGCCATAAAAACAAATGCCAAATGATATTTGTTGGCTTCTTGTTTCGACTTCGCATTAGACGCTGTCCACACACAATTGTAATCGTAATTTTTTATTGCCAGAGTGTATTCACGAGTGAATAGCAATTGGCCATTGGCATTCGACATTCGACATTCGACATTCGACATTCAATATTCCAAATTTGGGATCAGAGTGGCTGCAACTATTCGATGAGGCCAAGTATGCGTGCCTTGCTTTGGAAGTCGGTGCGTTGCACGTAGGCGCCGCACATGACGCGGCGGCCCGTGTAGGCGTGGCGGCCGTGGAGCACGCGCCAGTTGTCGAAGATCACCAGGCTGCCCGGCCGCAGCTTCAGCTGCCACTGCTGCTCCTCGTCGCGCACCAGCTGCAGCAGCTGCCGCAGGCTGGCGTAGAAGCTGCCCATCTCGCGCTGGGGCAGCGTGTTGAAGACGGCACGGTCGTAGACATTGAGGCGCAGCTGGAGCAGCTCGCCGGTCAGCGGATCGACGCGTATGATGGGCGCTGTGTGGCAGTGGTGCTGGCCCTGCTCGATGTACTCGGCGGGCACTGGCACGCGGGAGAGCACCTCGTAGGCAGCGGGAAAGCGGCGGCGCAGCTCCTGCACCACGTGCAGCCCGTCCACAAAGAAGTTCTCGCCGCCAGTGCCGTCGGAGTGCTCGAGGCAGTGCAGCGCCTGCAGGCCGGCGGCGTCGCAAAAGTACGTGTTGTCCGTGTGCGAGCCCAGGTACATCTTGGTGTAGGCCGTGTCCGCGTGGTCCTGCTTGTCGCTGAACGTCCACATCTCTCCGAAGAAGGTCTTCATTACCGGGAAGCAGCGGCGCAGCGCCAGCTCCGTCATGGTGGGCGTGGGCGCCACGTCATCTATAAAGACAATGCCGTAGCGCACGAGAGCGCCTATCAGCTGCTTGACCTGCTCATCGCTGGCCACAAGGGTGGGCAGCGAGAAGCGCAAGTGCCGCTCGTTCTGTAGCGCGATGCTGCGGTTCCAGGGCGTCAGCGCGGTGGACTTTGTGCGCCGGCTTATCAGCTGCTCCAGCTGCGAGTCATAGATGAATGCCCAGTCGTAGCTCGAACGGTGCCCGTCGCTCCCTTAACAGAATGTAAACACGTATGAGCATTGCAGCTGACTGCCATCCGGCGGTACTTACATTCCACCAGGAGCTGATCCGCCGACTCCCAGCTGTGCTTGAGTGCGCGCACATCGGCTGGCAGGTCGAGAACATCGTAGCGCCGCTGATGCGTCTCCGTGTTGAGGCAATCTCCGCAGTGACAATGGTAGCGCAGCCAGAACTCATCGAGCTCTATGACTTTGCCGCTCCCAGCGTGCTTCAGCTGCAGCATCTTAGTTGAATTGTGGAGCAGAGAAAGACTCGACCGATCCGCAATGAAGTGCGTCGATCAACTGAGACAGCTCAGCTGCCAGATTAGCGTTTGCCCCCTACCAAATCGTATGTTCTTATCAACTCGAGCTGCGTACCACACTTTGAATGTTAGGGGTCTTCGATGATTAAACAAGTAAGAGTGCTCTAATCTGAACTGCTGATATTCTAATCATTCTGTACTTCTCTTACCCGCTCTTCTAGCGGCGCAGTTGGCAGTGACTGCGCTTGGGCTGCGCTGCAGTGTGGACATTAGTTAGAGATTCTATTTGTGGAATCATTTATCTTGTAGTGGGACTATCTTCAAGAAACTATCAGAGCATGATTATTCAAATGTGTGTATATTCCAAAGTGCAAGTCTTTAAAACTTGACTTAATATCGGTGTAATCACAAAATGTATATACGCATAATTCTGCTTCAAATATACATATTATTATACTTTAAAACGAAATAAATTTTTCAATTATTCTCGATAGTAAAGTTATCGGATGAGTTATCGATAAAATATGATAAACTCATACTGCGTATGGCCACGGACAAAAGCACAATATTTGGTCAGTGGTATGGCATACACGAGTATGCATGCACAATTTTAAGTCTCTAGCTCTTACATCTTCTGAGAGTTCTGTATTCATAGACAGACTGCTATTTCCACTCATAACATAACATAAATGCATTCAATCAAAGTAACCCTGGGAAGCATGTCAGATTTGACAGATGGGACAGCTTTGTCAGTGAACAGAAATTAAAACTTTATTCGCTGAGCTAAACTGGGACAGTTAACTACTTAGACTTTTTGAAAGAATTACAGAAATTTTCACAAATTTATTGGTAAGTTAGAAGCAATAGCCTAGCAGTTAGCCCGTCTTAGTAATCAATAAACACGGCACGAATTTAGAGATGAAGCCGACAATCACCTCGTGGGCCGATGAGGTAGAGGCAGACTATGTGGACGGACTGCCGCCCTCGAAGGAGCACGTGGATGGCGACTATAAGCACGTCACCGAGTACAAGTTCAACGATGAGGGCAAGAAGATTAAGGTGGTGCGCAGCTTCAAGATCGAGAAGAAGATCGTATCGAGGGCAGTGGCAAAGCGCCGCAGTTGGACCAAGTTTGGCGACTCCAAGCTGGACAAGCCGGGCCCCAATTCGTACACCACCAAGGTGGCCGACGAGATCCTGATGAACTACATGGGCTCCAAGGACTTTGAGCACACCCAGGATCCGCTGGACGCGGGCAAGCCCATTGCCAAGTGCCGCATATGCAACGGCGAGCATTGGTCTGTCAAGTGCCCCTACAAGGGCACCTCCATGGACATCGAGAGCAAGGCCATTGCGGCGGCCACTGCCGCTGTGGGCGAGTCCAGCAAGACGGGCAAGTATGTGCCGCCGTTCCTCAAGGAGGGCGCCAAGGGACGCGAGCGCGATGATTCATCGGCTGTGCGCATTTCCAACCTGTCCGAGTCGATGACCGAGGATGATCTCGAGGAGCTGGTCAAGAAGATTGGCCCACACACCAAGATGTATCTGGCGCGCGAGAAGAACTCGGGCCTGTGCAAGGGCTTTGCCTATGTGCACTTCAAATATCGCAAGGACGCGGCCGAGGCTATCGAAGTACTCAACGGACACGGCTATGATCACCTAATCCTAAGCGTGGAGTGGTCCAAGCCGCAAAACTAAGCACACACACACACACATCTTATCCGATACCCTGCCGCATATGTCCTTTGGCTGGGAAAAGCGCAAAGCTGCGCAGGAATCGAGGCAAAGTTGAAACAAACTAAAAACTTTGAGTAAATCCGATAATGCCAGGTTTTAAATGCGAATTTTTTACACGTGACAGCACAAAGAAATTCTCACACAAATACACACACAAACACGCTCACACATAGACGTAAATAAAGGAAAGGAAAAGCCACTTAAATGAAAGACAGACGTGGAGCAGAAAAGCTGGCGAAACACCACTAGACTTTGGCTGACTGGAACATTAATAATTAAATTGAAGAAAAGAAAAGTCTTATGCACGGGCTCACAAGCCAGCTGAAAAACCACCGCGCACGCCCACCTCCACGTCCACATCCACGCCCACGCCCACTTACCCCCAATAGTGCTGTGGCCCCTGGACAGCTCTGGCCTGCCGATGGTGGCGTTGGAATAGTGCACGGTGAACTGAACTTGAATACACTTTTAAATGGCCTGGCTTGGCCCCTGCCTGTGTGGGCGGGGGTAGGTGCGGGAAGAGATCAAAGCGAAGCCCACATACATAAGAAATGTATACCTGCAGCAGCGAGCTTTGTTCACGTGTGTGAGTGTGTGTGTGTGCGTGTGTTTGTGTTCAGCCATGGGCGAGGGGCTGGCGACGAAAGCAAATTCTCAAACAAATTACTGAATAATTTATAAATTAACTTTTTCTTGGGCTCGCTCGTTCATTCGCCTTTGTGCGCGACGACAATGGAGGAGGCATTGCCGAAGCATGGCTCGAGCTGAAGAGGATGAGGGATGGGGGAGTTGGGACATGGGCAATGGGGGGCCTGCTGGCCGTTTGTTTGCTTTTTTCTTGCACCTCCTCTGTCTGCTGTCTAACTATGTGTGTATATATTCATAGTGGTGCGGCTGGCACGCACATTCGCCCGCTGGGCAGTAACCACAATGGCAGTTGGCTGCGTTGGCTGGCAACTGGCAGCCGGCAACTGGCGAGTGGCGAGTGGCAAGTGGTGGCTAGCGGGTGGGTTCAGTTCTCAGGGGCATTTGAATATTCAAATGGTATTTCGTGGCATTTGCTGATGTTGCTGCTGCTGCTGTTGCCATTGTTGTTGTTGTTGTTGTTGTTGCCGTATTGCGCTTTAAGCATATGACCGTTATTTACTGTTTTATTGCACGCGGGCGCACACAAAAATTGCTAAAATAATTACACAGTTGTCGGCGTAGCAAACGCTTGGCGGGCTCCAGGAGGCAGCCACCCGACCGACCACGACAGCAGCAACCAAATAAAATTAATCCTCAAATGGCCTCAGGCGCTCGCCCCCTACTTTATGAGCGTGTGTGTGTGTGTGGCCAGCAGACTAATGCAAACTATTGCAAACCGCGTTTTAGCCATTAATTCGCTAAGCGCCTGCTCTCTTACCTGGTATGGGTCCGCAGACGCGTGGTATTATTTCCAGAATGGCCGAGCATGAGGGATCCTCGAAGCACAGCTGTCGGGCCAAAATGCAGTTCAAGATCGCAACGGCACCTTTAATGGTCGAACCTGCAACAAGACAAAGAAAATTAGGTTAGTGGCAGTTGCTGGAGTGTATATGTTTGCCCTTTAGGCATCTATCAATGTTAATTAACTAAACTAGATTCGACAAGCAACCAAATAATATTCATATCTCTGTAAATCTGTGAAACTGAAATAATCAACAACAAACAGAATCATTCCAAGCGTCCACATGGAACTGGATCCGGACTTTGTCAAGGAATTCGCTTGCCTCAAGATCTCCACACGCGACATAAGCGCCGAGGAGCTGGCCAGGTTCGATGCGAGTGTGCCGCTGAAGGCACGCGCCCAGGTGAAGCACACCTCGTACAAGCACGTGCCGCAGTTCTTCTATGTGCCGCCGCCACCGGACGATAAGCTGCGGCATATGCTGCGGCGGGAGGCGCAGTCGCTGTTCCTGCAGCAGAAGTCCGAGGAGCTGCTGAGCCACGATGAGCTGCAGCAGCTGTGGCGCCTCTTGGAGCAGCATGTCAGTGAGACAACCGCCAAGCAGCAGCTGATCAGCTACGACGACTACTGCAGGCTGATGTCTGCCATCGACAAGAAGTGCCGCAAGTATCTCACGACGCGTCTGTTCGCCCAGCTGCTCGGCGAGTCGCCGTACCTGGGCAGCGTGGAGATCGCCTCCGTGTTCAACTACACCATGCGCAAGGTGTGGCTGACGCAGTGTCGCATTGGGCTCTCCTTCTACGATGATGTGGGCCAGGGCTACCTGCGCGAGTTCGACTTGGAGAACTACATTGTGGACCTGATACCCACGCTGGGGCAGATCTGCGATAGCATGGAGCCCGCCTTCGAGAAATTCTACGTGTGCACGGTGGTGAAGCGCTTCTACTTTTTCCTCGATCCTCTGCGCACGGGTCGTATACGCATTCGCGAGATGCTGGTCTCGGGCTTGATTCACCAGCTGATGGATCTGCGCGACGAGCCAAAGCCGACTGAGTCGGAGGCTGTGCAGCTGAATCCCTTTTCCATGCCCGCCGTCATGGCGGTCTACGGAAGCTTTCTCACTCTGGACCTGGACCACAATGGCCTGCTCAGCAAGCAGGAGCTGAGCAGGTATGGCTCAGGCACGCTCACATCGGTGTTCATGGATCGCGTCTTCGAGGAGTGTCACACCTACGACGGCGAAATGGACTACAAAACCTATCTGAGCTTTGTCCTGGCCATGGAGCATCGACAGGTGTGAGTTTGAGCCGAATGAACTTACGAGCAGGCTTCATAATGTTACGATAGAGTTCTTAAAGTTATTTGGTTCTAGCAGCAGCTGGAGATTTTCTTGTATTTTATTAATACGGTTATCCTCTTGCATAGACATCCTCGTCGCTGCACTACTTATTCCGTATGCTGGACGTGCAGCACACTGGCTACCTGACGATGCAGACGCTTAATTACTTCTTCAAAGGAATAGAGGAGCAGTTGGCGCTTAGGTCTGCGGGGGCGGTGCGGTTCGAGGACTTCAGCAATGAGATATTCGACATGGTCACCCCCAAGGATGCGTGCAAGATAACACTAAAGGATCTGAGCAATTGGTAAGCTGGGCACACTTGATTTTCCGTACTCCTCCTTTTGTATTTTCCACAAAAATTGTCGTTCAACCATGTCCTGCGTGCCTCGTGTGCAGCGGCCAGGCGGAGACCGTGGTATCCATATTAATTGAATTTCATAAGTTCTGGGCTTACGAGAACCGCGACGACAATCCGCAGAATGGTTAATGGCCACATGCCACACGGCGGCGGCAGCAGCAGGAGTAGCAGCAGCAGCAGGAGCAGCAACAGCAACCAGAGTAAATACGGCAACAACATTAAGCGAAATTTAATTAAAATCCCGAACAGACAAATAACATCAGTAGACACACTTCTGCAGAAGAGTTTGGAGCTGACTTTGACTGCAGAAAGCCTCGTTCAGACTAACCTCTTGGCCAGTTTTCAATTTGGCCTTTGAGTAGAGCTCTCAAATGTTGCTCTTCTGCTGCCTCAGTCTTGCAGAATTATTCTTAGCAAACACCGTGCACTAGACACTTTAATTAACCCATCATAGTTTTTACTTTAACATGTTAAGAGATAAGTATCTCATTTTAAAGCACTGCAGCTGGCAATTGTCAGCCCAAGACAGACACACTGAAACAGAAATTATTTTGTGTATACTTATATATGGGAGACGTGTATAAATTATTTGTGCATTGACATTTTGCGCTCATTAAATTCTCAGCAAACGAAAATATTTACTTAATTTGGCTGGGCTTTAAGGCCCAGTGATATTTGTTGCATCTGCCGTAATGCGGAGCTGGAAGAGAGAGAGAGAGAGGGAGAGGGAGAGACAGCGGCCACTGCTGCCCCAGAGATTATAATAATTTTATGACTCTTGGCAGTTTCAGGAGCGGATACAGTGTGGAGTCTCCTACTCTCTAACCGGGCAACGGTTTATAAAACATTCATTTCAATTTCATTTCATTACGTAGAAATAAACCAAGTCATTCAGCCAAGCTGGCAGCCTGGCAGGCAGCCTGTTAGGCAGTTAGGCAGTGGGACACAGCTGAATGAAGGGGGCTCAGTTGGTGCTTTGCTTGGCTGCTGTCCATCGCAATAGGATGTGCTGCGACCAGCGCGCAGTCCATCCGCCGGATGCTCAGTAAAAGTTGTAGCTACTTCTGACCCGACCCAACGCCCCGCCCCTTGCTGCTGCTGCTGCTGCTGCTGCTGGCAGGCGCTCATTAACGAAATGACCGCTTGCATATTGCAGGCAGCTGCGGCTCTTTGGCGGCGTGGGGCAGGCACGAGAAATGCCTTCAAAAATTCAGGAACTGCATGCAACGGCAACACGGAGGCAACACCCGTTCGCAGGAAGTGGCCTACTGCCAGCGGTAGCTGGAGGAACAACAATGGCTGCTAACTGTAGCAGTCAGTGGCAATGGCAGCGGCAGTTGCACTTGCATTTTACAGTTGCACCACCACCACCGTCACCAACAGTGCCAAATGCCGCACAGTCAAAAGTTTTGTGGCAGTCGCGGCACTCGAATTGTTTGCGGAAATACAAATAAATAAAATGCTGAGCGAAATTGCGGCAACTTGCAGCTTGCAACTTGCAACTTGCGACTTGCAAGAGTTCCGCTACGTAAGCGAGTGGTCTCTCTCTGCCTCTCTCACTCTTCCCTTCTCTCTCTCTCTCTCTCTCTCTCTGTCTGTCTCTCTGGTATGTAAAGTGTTTTATGGTTATTGGTCGCTTAGCAGAAGTAGTTCTGCATCTGGACTGGCCGGGCTGTCCCGCTGACAGCCTAGAAATTATCAACGCCAGCTAGCTGAATGGCTGGCCAACCACTCACCCACACAGACAAACAAATAGTCGCCGACGGCCCGATTACCAAGCCCCATGCGACCCATTCGAAATCACTTAAAAACACAAATCAAGCAAAAGTTGAAAACACACAATAACAATTGTTTCGGGACACCCCATAAATTTACATGCCAACTGCGGGGGCAGGCAGCAGAGACTGTACAGAGGCTACATAGAAAACCAGAGAGCGACAAAAAAAAGAAGAAATAGGTACATAAATATGGCAGCAGACGACGCCTACGCCTCCTGCGCGAAAGACAGGAGCAGCAGCGGCCAGGACCAGCAACCAGAACAATTCGTTTCTGTCACAATCAGATTCGGATTGGGCACAAAAATTTCGAGTTCGCGTTCCCATTTCGCATTTCGTTTTCGTATTTGGCGTTTCACATTCGCGTTTCGCGTTCGCATGTTGCCGCCATGTTTCATGAATTATTTTCCTGGCCAAAAACTTTTCCAAACTTTTCAATGCACAATGTGTGTGAGAGAGATAGGAAGAGGGAGAGTGGGAGAGTAAGGCGGGGGCAATATAGAAAGTAGTAGGCAAGACATTCACTACCGGCTGTCCCTTGGCCTGACTCTTTGCTGCGTTTCCTTGGCCTGGCGCATATTTCGATTACCATTTTGCCGGCTTCGGCTCCGGCTCTGGCTCCGTATGCCGCCTGCCGGCTGCCGGTTACCGATCGAACTTCGGAAGGAGCTGAAAGGCTGTGCCAATGTTTCACATTTTCTGCAACTTAGCTTCTGCTGCTGCTTAAATTTCAATTGTGTGGCATGGGCCCGGGGCCGCTCGACTCGAGAGCACTCTGGTGCAGGCTTTAATAAATAATGGCAACATTCCCAGCAGCGGGATGAGGCGGGCTGCTTGGGTGGGTGGGCCCGCTGCTGCCTTGCCGTGCAGTGGCCGGTGCCATTCACGTCACTTGGAAAAAGTTCATACAACAAATGCGCCGCATAAGAAAAACAACAACAGCAACAACAATAACACTCAATGGGGCCAATAACAACGACAACAGCAACAACGACAACAATGCTGTAAAACGACCGCATTACGAGCTCGCGAATTGCTGGCGCTTCACATTGGCCGTAAGCTAAAAGAGTCCGACACGGAGTTGGGTTGTCCGACCAACCGCTGGCAGTGGCAACAGCAACAGCAACAGCAATAGTAACATCAACAGCAACAACAACAACATGGCCAAGAAATGGCAGCTTTACAACTTCCGCCAAGCGACTGTGGCGAGTAGACACGGACGATGAGGAAAAAGAACGGGAGCAGCAGCAGGAGACGTAGCTGTGTAACTGTAAAATATATGTTGTAGTATTCCGCTTTACTTTCTTTTTTGTTTTGTTTGGTGGTGAATGGTGGACTCATCTCATGTCATTCGGGATTATTTTGTGGGTTAAAAACTAATTTGCGGTCATGAAGTGGATTTGGCTGTTCGTGTGCGTCCTTTTTGCTGTTGCCTGTTGTTGCCTGTTCGGCTGCTCGGCTGCTCTCTGTGCGCTGCTGTTGACATGGCGCCCAGTCCATAAATATGCAACAAAACTGGCAACTAACTAGCTTTGCCTCATGCTCGCCCGGCCCGCTGACAATTGGCCGCACTCGCCATGCACTTCATTAGCATACCAAAGCCGGTTAGATTTAAGGTACTTATCTTGCATATACACATACAAACACACACACGTAATTTCAATTTGGGGTTCAA